GGGGGTTGGACTAGATGACCCACAGAGGTCCCTTCCAACCCCTACTATTCTGTGATTCTGTGATTCTGTGACTCCTCTCCTCGTGATAGTACACAGAAGGAAGGGGACAGGAACCAGGCGGAGAGGAGGGTGAGAGAGGCAGCTGGGCAGCAAAGCTGGCGCAGACTGGGTGGAGGAGCTGGTCAGTGCAAGTGTGATCAGAGCCAGCGTTCGTTTCGTTTGTGACTTAAACTCGTGTGTTGTGGAATTGCTCTTCTGGGACTTCAGTGTCTTCCCATACTTGAGTGAGTACCTGTTGCTACACATAAACTCAGAGCAGGGGGAGGACCAGCTCATGCTCGTCTCGCTAAAGAAGAGGAGGGAAAGGAAGGCAGGGAGGATCAAGGGAAGAAGGCAGAAGAGATCCCGCTATCCAAAAGAGAGGGTGGGTGGCAGTGGTTTGTAAGGAGAAATCACAGTAGTGAAATCTGCCTGGTTTGGCCAGGCAGTGACTTTGGAGGAGGACACGAAAATATCTCTTGAGTGTTTGAAAGAAGAGGAGGAATTACTGAGGGTGATCTAAAAGAACAAAAGCTGCAATAGTAGGTTAAAAATTTAGAAAGTACACATAAAGTATGACGAGATTTTTCCTGACAGTGAACTCTAACCGAAGCTAAAGCTGCCTCTGAAGGGAAGGTTTAACAAGATCGTTACTGGATTGGATATGGGTGGGAAATAAGGTGGGGCTGCCTGGGAAAGAGACTCAGACAGTCCGTGAAAGGGCGTCCGGTCTGCACTGTGTGGTGGTCTGGCAGCTGCCCCGGGGTCCGCTGCTTTCCCCCGGGGGGGAAGCCAGCGCTGCAGCAGACAGGCATGGAAGTGGCCTAGAAGGGCTGGTCCCAGAGCTGCTAGGATTAGCGTATGCACGTTAAAGAATCTTTCCTTCGGTCCAAACAGATGTCTCGTGTTATATTCCTTTGTACATCCCTGTGTTTAAATGTTCCAATTTCCTGTGCAGCTTGGGAAGGAAAGCAGTCGGATGGACAGTCCAGCAGCCCTCAGAACTCCACCTCCAGCTCCTCTCCCTCTGTTAAGCTTGATAACTCCTTGCCAGGGCTGGGGAAGAAACCGTTCCAGAGATCTGACAGACTCCATGCAAGTAAGACATTTATTTTTCTGCTTTACAGAGATTTGGTTGCTGTGATGACAGAACAAAAGCCTAAATAGCTGAATTGACTAAAGTGTGTAATGAATTCCGTTGCTAAAGCGACTCGTGGACAACTCTGGAGGGTACTGCTAGTACGCTGTGTGAATTAGGATCAATAATTCAAACCTGACAGATGCAAAAAAGCCTCTTCTCGTTTCTAATCATCAGGGGTTTCTGCCTGTGAATTCGCAGCTTGCTGTTTGAGAAGCAACAAAGTGCTTGCGTTATTTAGCAGGCTTTGTAATGTGCTTCAGACACGTTGGTAGCATTAAAAAGAAGAAGGAAATTCATTCCCAGATCTTGGTACTTCAGGCCCTGCTGCTGTCTGGCATCCTTCCCTCTCACTGGGGTTAGGTCTGTCTCAGCCTTCCGTGGGTGCCTGCACACGTGCCGATGATGGAGCTGACCTCGGTGAGCGTGAGGACGTGCTGAGGTCTCTCTCTGTTCCAATCATCCTAGCTTTTCTTCGTCACTGGTGAAAACAGGCACTTTTCAGGGCATGTTTCATTTAGAATCGTAGAACCATTTGTCCCATGGAATCAATCTGTCCCGTCTAATTAGGGAATTCTGCACCTTAAGTAGATTATAAAGCTGCAGAGTCATTTTCTGAATGACTTCCAATCAAGCAAACTTCCCCTAACGAAACAAGCCTCCACAGCATTTATTTTGTTAGGTACCGTTACCTTAAAAATGACTGCTGTCAGCCCTGAAGCTGGGGCAGCAGGGTCTGTCTGAATATTAACCCATTTTGCTAATATAATGTACTTTGACTCTAAGCTTCAAAACAGACGGCGTTTTGCCAGGAACAGACAGTGGATGAGTCCAACGGCAGTGGGAGTACGCCGTGCAAATGCTTTCTTCCTTATTCTGCTCTGAATTTGCAGCACAGACATGAAGCTGGCTGCAGCAGCAGGGTTCAGGCTGGGCCTGCTGGCCCTCAAACACAGAAAGAGAACAGAATGGTTGCTTGTTTTTACGGCTTTGCCTAGTGTCCTGGGTTCTACACAAGCACAATGAATTTTCTGACAGGCTTTTGCTGAGAACAAAGTAGGAAAGTCCAGGAAGAAATCCCAAAGAACAAGCTGACCTTAACTAGAGGCTTAAAATAGAAAACAGACGTGGGTTCTAGAAACCCTCCTGAAAAAGACTCCTTGCCAGTGCCCAGGGAGCCGGGATTCCCACAGCAGTGAGGTGAACTGACACAGCGTATTAGGTATTGGGGTTGGACGGGGTGACCCACAGAGGTCCCTTCCAGCCCCTGCCATTCTGTGATTCTGTGATTCTGTGACTCTGTGATTCCGTGTGTGGAAATGGGGCTGGACAGGACCTCCCACGTTTTCTTTTCAACTGTGTGCACAAAGGTAGAACGCATATTCCAAGTCAAGCTTTGAAATGGGTTGCTAAGGCGGCGCGTTGAAAACCTCAGGCCCAGTGAGCTGCAGGGGAGCCTTCAGCCCTCTGGGCGAGGAGAGGCTGAGGGAGCTGGGCTTGTTCAGCCTGAAGAAGAGAAGGCTGCGAGGGGACCTTATAAATGCCTACAAATATCTGCAGGGTGGGGGTCAGGAGGATGGGGCCAAGCTCTTTTCAGTGGTGCCCAGTGACAGGACAAGGGGCAATGGGCACAAACTGAGGCACAGGAAGTTCCGTCTGAACATGAGGAAGAACTTCTTCCCTCTGAGGGTGACGGAGCACTGGAACAGGCTGCCCAGGGAGGCTGTGGAGTCTCCTTCTCTGGAGATATTCAAGACCCGCCTGGACAAGATCCTGTGCAGCCTACTGTAGGTGACCCTGCTTCGGCAGGAGGGTTGGACTAGATGACCCACAGAGGTCACTTCCAACGCCTACCATTCTGTGATTCTGTGATCATAGTACCAGGTTATAGGGAAATACAGAGAACCAGTGAAAATATTGAGAAGGTATACTAAAAATATGGCTGAGTGCTGATGATGTTGGTCAGAAATTCCTCTTGGAGCCAAGTCAACTAGTAGTGAAATTGATTTTGCTCTGGTGGAAATTGGAATAAACCACTTCCAGTCCTAACATGGACAATTCATTGGGGATTTGGTGGAAAACCTCATCCATTGCAATTCTTTCAGCAGTGCTGATGATGGACTTAGTCCCATCTCCATTAGTGATTAAACCCTTTTCAGGTTGAGCTGAGGAGGATAAGTAGACCCTACAGCTGATGCAACAATGAACAGTTTTCAGGTACCTCCATACTCTTCTGGGACAGTCCTCAGCCAAAACCTCAAAATTATTGTCAGTCAAGTTCTAGATGTTTACATCTATGCTAAGATTTATCCTATTGTAATCTGACATCCTCCTAGGGAAGCTCAGGAAGTGTGGGCTGGATGAGTGCTCGGTGAGGTGGATTGAGAACTGTCTGAATGGCAGAATTCAGAGGGTTGTCATCGGCGGCACTGAGTCTAGTTGGAGGCCTGTAACTAGTGGGGGTCCCCAGAGGTCAGTACTTCGCCCAGTCTTGTTCAACTTCTTCATCAATGACCTGGATGAAGAGGTAGAGTGTATCCTCAGCAAGTTTGCTGATGACACCAAACTGGGAGG